AAGGCAAAGGGTAGGGAAAATTTGGAATGAGAATTACAGGGAACCTGTCAGAGCAGAAATATTGAAACTGTCATCCCTTCTTCCTGCTATCTATATGGTCACTCACAATTTATTATTAGCTGTAGAATTAGCTGCTAGAATACACAAGTTCTAATATTCTATGTGTGTGTTCAACACAATCCAATATGCACTGGTTATTTCGAGATTCTGTATCTAATGTAATAGGCTGGCCATAGACATATCCTGGATGGGGAGACATCTGCCTTTCAACTGTATGTAAGTTTTTTTTGCTTTTTTTTCAGAATTATTTTTTTTTACTGGATTTTCTTTAGAGGTGTGGGTCATTTTAGGAGTCAACCATGCTCTTTTTTAAACAAACTAATTTGGGAACTTTAAGCTCTTACATTCACAAGTATAAACCCTTATTATTCCTATACCTCAACTTTTCCTGTTTAATTGACAACCTAACACTGCAGAAAAACCATTGTAATGTTTTCCTAGAATGCCATAAGACCACAGACAATTCAAAGAAGCATTAGTCATTCTGTCATCCAATGCAGATGGCACAATATGGAAGTGAACTAAATACGAGTCCTCTGTGATACATTCTGTTGTCATCACCAACTGTTACTTACTTCTCACAGTGGCTTTAATTGTAGGTAAATTTATAGGTCTATTGCTATTACTTTTTTCAGGATAATTTTATCGTGCTATAAACAAAAGTGTAAAATAAGTATGCAATATTAGTGAAACAAAGAACACTGGAAAAACAAAAAGCAAGCAGAATTAGTATTACTTTTTTTAAATCTTTTTCCAATGTACTATTTTATTTCCCATCATTAACATTGCCATAAACATTTTAGAGAATATTATGCAGTTGTATACCTACCTTATATTTTATTCTTGTAGCTATAAAGAAAAAAAGCAGATTTGGATGCATAAAATACATCAGAGAATATTACCAATTAAAATTTTGTGGAAGAATGCAGCAAAGATGTGAGCAATTATTATTATTGCAGCTTCGGCAAATGGTGTTTTGAACAGTTTCATGTTTATGGTTTAACAGGCTTTGGCTTTTTTTTCCATTGAAATTTAAGAAAAAATGTGATGAGATCTAAAACATTTTAGTGTACATTGTTAAAGATGAATTGATCATTAAGAAACATTCAATTCCTCAAAATTTTAAGAAAAAATGCATGTGTGATATAAAATTTGCACACTTGAAATGAAATAATGGAAGAGTCAGAGGGCAAAATTTCAAACTTTTCAGCTGTGGCTATTTACATAAAAATACAACTGAAAATACCAGGAACCATCTGTCATTTATTTACAATGGATTGATTTTTTGTTCCCTCTAGAGCTCATATTAAATTTATTTTTGTGTGTAGTTTTATAGAGAATCCACACATTAGGAATCAGTGAACAATATTTTACACCGATTGGAACAGGGCCCAATTAGATGTAATAAATTTAAATGTAAAGGTCTTCATATTTGGCTGCTTGCAGTGGTGGCCACATTTAACAAAGGGACTCTATGAGTGGTGAATGTTTGGGCTTCAATTACTGCCCGAGTACAAACATTTATGCATTGTGTATAGACAATTAGATGAAGGTGAACAGAAACCTTTGTAATGCCCTGATATCACTCAAGTTCCATAATATGCAACTGTGGTCAGAAATTAGATACCTCATTCAACTCCTGCCCAAAAGGTATAATGAGAAAATATATAGGTATTCTGCATGTTTCAGTGATGACCAGACAAGATGTAAAGGAGGGATTTACTTTCCATAACCTATGGGATATTTAAAACTGGGAGAATGAGTTGGACATTGTTAAAATTTACCTCAGCTTCTCATGTGCCCTAGAAGTGAACAGTGTCTATCTGACAACAGCAGGTGGGCCAAGCACCTACCACTTCCACATCCTAAATCTCAGTGAACCTATGCATGTCTGCCCGTGCCCAACTGCATGTGATCAGTAAATCCCCGTCTCAACTCAACAAAAATACTTTCTGTGAGAAAAAAACTTTACAGATTGACTAGCAGGCTTGCAACTTGAGTGAAGAATTTGGAGTCTGGATAATTGTAGACCAACCTACAAATACTAGCTGATCAAGCCAATCAAGCACAAGGTAAAACCAGATCAAATGGTGTCTTATGACAAAAGTAGAAGGACAGACCTGCGAATGCAAACAAGATCTCACCACTAGATTACTTAAAGCAAAATACAAATGTGACTATTGACGTAACTCAACTTGTATCTACTGAACACTAAGACAACAAAGGCTAGTTGACAGAGAATGGCCTAAAAGAGTACTTTAGGCAAGATTTTTAAGACAAATGTTTTGCCATTGTACGATAGAAACAATGTGAACACCTTGTGTTATTAAGCAGCAAATTTTCTTTTATTTACAAAGAACTGATTTATGGCTCCTATATGCCACACCTTAGCCGCGACAGTTTCTCTGTATGAATTCAGCATTAACAGTCTAGTATAGCATGTTCTGTATATAGGTCACCTTGCTACAATGATTTCCCCTGACTTCAAAGGGAAATTGTTCGCAAGTGACCGTCTTGTGCTTTTGTAGATGCTTGCCTTTATTCTGTTTGGGTTGCAGGGCAAAAATGGGGCTGTCGTGAGAATATTTTGATGAATCCTCTTCAAAGTCACCGCTTCAGTATAAACAGAAACACATCCTTCAACCATATTTTGCCCTCAAGATTTAACAGCCATGCTTAGACTCTGCTGTTTGAAATGGAGCCAATTTAATTCTGCTTGGCCAAAGAGGCGTCTCCATTGTTCCAAAACATTCAGTCGCCCTAGGGTACATCAAAACTGCTGTTTAAGTGGCCCAGTGTTACCAGTGAAAGCTCAGTTTGATTGAGGAAAACAAACCACCATGACAGGTTTTTTTGGTAATAAAGCAGTCATTCTCTGTGAACCATTTGTAGAAAATGTTTGTAACAAATGACAGCTAGACTGGCTATGGACATAGAATCCAGGCTTATATTTTATCTTGTAGAAATGGGTCACTAATTCATGGAATCCTCAGAAGATACCATTGAAGTATATAAACAAAGCACATTGTGTGTTTCCAATAACAAATGTTTAATATGGCTAATGACCTCAGATCAAGTTGTAAACTAAAGTATGACATAATCTTATGCTTGTAGAAACCAGGCATCCTTTTTATAAGCTAAATCTATATGAATTTAATTAGTTCATTAAAAGCTAGTGAAATCATTTAAATATATGGGCCAAAGCCAGTAATATGTCTGCTTTCATTGTGTGAAAGTAAAAAAATATATCATATATAGTCATGTAGATATGTTGTGGGCTAAGGAAAAATTCCCTAGAAAACTGCAAATTCCCTTGCAAAGTAAACAGCCTATATGCCTTTAGTAAATCAACCCATAAACCTCAGGCCTCATTCTAAACTGGTAAACTGATTCTCTGCATTCTCTTATATTTTAGGTCCAGAATGCAAAATGGCTGGTATGCTGCTTTTTATTATCATTAGTACACACTGTATTTTACTCAGACAAAAACTGTAATTTTAAAGGAGAACTATGAGGTGAGTGCGTTTCACTCACCTCATAGTTCTAGCTGACCTGTGACAATGAGACTGTCACAGGTAGGCTCAGTAGATCAGGAGGTGAGCGAACACATACCGGCATTCGCTCACCTCTCGATCCTGTCACGGCTCTCTGCCATGACAGGGGAGGAGCTGGATTCCCCCCTCCCCGCTCCGATCCGCCAACGCTCGATCCGCCAACGGGAGGGGGCGGGTACAGTTGGCTCTGCCTCTAGATAGGCAGAGCCAGCTGTCAGTCACGCAGCTGGGTGGATCCCGGCACAATTTTCAGGATCCGCTTCAGCTGCGGCGTCTCAGTATACCGCGAGCAGCAGCTCGCGGTATACTGAGCCTAGGGTGACGGGAGGACGCTAGTTTGTGTCCTCCCGTTACCCTGAGAACTATGGGGAAAAGCCTTAACCCCATAGTTCTCCTTTAAGGTTTGTAAGAGAACTCTATTACTATTAAACTTAATGACTACTTTGCATAGGTGAGCATTCTGATTTCTGCCAGTCAGGGTTATGCAAAATACAGTCATATTGTTGACAAATGGCAGATGACTGTAAAACAAATGATCATCAGTACTGCTTTCCCAGTATTGGGCTTGGTGCCAGAAAGATGAATGTAAACTGCAAAATGGAGTAATACAATAATTCTTCACACAAAAAAATGACTACTCTGTAATATTATTTGTGTTTTAGGTGGATTTTAAAGTTTAAGAAGTAAGGTAAATTAAGATCAAACACAGGTCTACTAACCTGACCAACAGGTTCTCTTGTAGGTGTCTTTATTCTTCTAGTGCTGGTGGCCAGTGTGGTGGTGGTTTCCATAATAGAGGTGGACATTTCTGACTGCATTGCCGTGGCAGTTGACTCTGTTGTCATGGATGAAGGCACATCACCAACAAGCCTCACATTTCCCTCTATAACGATGTTGGCATCATTTTCAGCAGCCATGTTCAGAACTTTTAAGCCATTGTAGTAAAGGCCACTAAGCTGGCCTTGAAAAGGATGTCCCCGTTCCTTCCCACCGATTTTAATGGTTGCCTGGCTATTGAAGATTGTAAGCTGACGTCCTGCAAAAATAATATTACATACATGCAAAAATGTTGACTGTGAACTCCATATTCTGGAAAAGATGACTAACAAATTTTTGTGAAATGAATGACAGATGCAATAAACTATAAGGTAGAAATATAACTCATAATTCATTGCTTTTAATGAAGTGACCATGGCATGTATATCTCTTAAAAACTTAAAAGAAATCTAACTTGCATGAATGTCAATGCTTAAAGGCCAATCAGAGGCTTACATCACTTACATGATAATATATATTTTTTAAAATCATAATTGTATTTTGTTTGAAACTAACTTGCATTATAAGTTATGAAAATGTATAAGACATTTATTTTGTATTTTTACAATAATTATTAATGTCTTTGATGGATAGCCCATTTTATTTAAATAATTTAAAATTCACTTAAATCCAAGTCTTAAATATGAGTAATTACAATATTCTTGTTCGGATAGTTAAAAAGAAAAGTAAACAATGAGAAAATATATCACAAGGTATTTAGTTATGAAAAGTAATTAGCATTCCATTTTATACAGTCACCACTATAATATCAAATTTTGTTTGCTTCACCACCAGTTAAGAAAATAAATGCATTGTTATGCAGTCAAAGTATAAAATAGCTCTGATTGGCATTTAGCAAGACTAACAATTAATATAGAATCTTTCTGATGTTAAAGCGACTTAAGTAATGATACACGTACCAATGGTGAAATTATGGCACAATTTCATTACACAAAGACATCTTTAAAATATTGTCAGCATTATGAAATCAAAGATTTTTTAAGCAGATTGGCCTCTGCATATGATTAGCATGCACATAATTTTAGGTTTGATTTTAATTAAGGTTTGTTCAAAAAATTCCTTGAAAGGATGCAAATGTTAAAGGGACTTCACTTTGATTGGCAATTCATTTTGCCCACTATTTAGAATACCTGCAGTTTATGCCAAGATATTTTTTTCAGGATCATAAGAAAGATAAGAATGCTACACATATTTTAGATAATAATTTAGATGTGGGAACAGGAAAAAAAAAACAGTCTATGAATAATTTAGAAAGTTTGGTTAAAGTTATCTATGAGTTTCTTCATAGATTCAGTTAGAGGATTGACTTTACAGTCCCTTTAACCTTAAGTTAACAGGGTACGATTATTAAACATCTAGACAGGCACGAAAATTATTATACAATGTATGCCAAATATTACTAACTAAATTTTACTGTTTTAAAAGTTTTTAAGTTAGTTTTACTGAAAATTTATTTTAAAAGTTTATTAGAGTTACAACGAAATACTACTTGGTTATGTTCAAATTATTTTTATTTGAAGTTTTAATCAATGTTTTTTACCTTTGTCGAGTAGCCAATCATCAACTACTCGACCAAGTCGATATGGAATTCGCTGTCTAGCAATCGCCAGGCGTTCGTTATCATTGTTTCCTTTAAAGTTTAAAGAGACATTTCATTGGTTAAAATCTGTAAGGTCAAAGGTTAAAAGTTAATACTTAAAGCTTGAGCTATACAGTTGCCACATGACTTTTTGAAATTTGGATTTTTAAAAAAATGGTACCTAGAACATATCATATTTCATTCACTCATTTATTTTATTTTAGCAAACAGAATTATTCCTATGTTAATGGAGAATTAGAAATCTGCACTTGAATTAGGTTATTAAAATTATGTTATAGACAGACCCAAAAAACATATTTAAGCATCATGTAAGCGTTTTTTGGTATTTATTATCTAGTTAAACATGTTCAGATGTAACACAATTATTTTTTTCTGGATACATCCAACCTCATAATCAAGGCTAGTAATTAAAAAAAAAAGTCTACCAATCCATATACCATATGTGGATGTTTTACCAAAGCATCCATATCACCAAACTATTACAAAGCTAATCCAAAAATATAGTTCTCATCCACGAGATTCAAAAAATCACATGGTACAAATGCATTTCAAGTTAAATGAATTCAGAATAATGAAAAATATAATGGTAGAACTGTGCTTCGGTTAACATGGAAAAAGGAATTGACAAAAGTTATTTCGTCTGTATTTAGGTATTGATCTAACTGGAATGAGCTTCATCCTAATTAAATTTTCATTGCAGGTATATGCAATGTTCTCCAAATACCCTGCTGGAATCCATAATTTCTTCAGTTGACAATTTAGATGTAATTTTGATACACATTAGCCAAGACAAATGCATGAAACAAAACAAGGCAATCTCAACTAAATCCTACAAAAATAGAGAATTGTGCTTTACTGCATGTATCTAGTTTGGATACACTGCTGCCTCACTCATCTCTTCTATCACTTTTTATAAAGTGATATAATGCTGATAATCTTGCAATTGCGATATTGAAGCAATGTTCACATTTTTGGTACAACTCAACCCTGAAGATGACTTTTTCCTGCCACCACCTGACAGCTTGCTTACATTTTTACATAGTACCTAAAAATTATATGGTGCTTCACAGTATGTAATTTGTTAGACCTTTGTATTTGTTATTTGTTAGACAATATTAACCCCTTCATGAGCACAATGTAAATGTATAGTCTTAATGTCACTTCTTATGCCTTGATGAAGAGACCCTGCGCGGTCTCGAAGCGTTGGCTCTTGTGTTTGTGTGATGTCTATGTCCAATAATGGACATGTTGGATTATTCTACTGAGTGCTGGTGATTTCTCTTCTCACATAGTCCTAATGTGAGAACGTTAATTAACCTTGCAGCTGAGAATTATAAATCTTGTGTTCCTAGTTCCAAACCCACTGTCAATAAGAAAAATTAGTCATAGATGATTTGTCAAGTTAACTGATGCATACCAACACTGCTAAGTTTGGTCTGGGCATCTACACTTAAAAAATTCCTATCATGGTGGTAAGCATTACACGTCTGACTTCGTAGAGGTACAGTCAGTTACCTTGGAAAACAACAGGTAGAAGACAAAGAATTCCCACTCAACTTTTTTTCTTGTTCTTGTCTTTTTTTCAAAGATAATATACAATATATATATATAAGTGTGTGTGTGTGTGTGTGTGAAAGTGATCCGCTTGTTTCTGTGTATAGCTTCCAATTATTTATCTACTTGTGGGGAAAACATTTTTGGTAATTTTGGAGTAATATTTATTGGTTGAGCCTTATTGCACCTTCTCAGAATGCAAGCATGCAGGGTTTATTTTCCAAGGGAGCAGAGAATATTCACTTTGCAGGGTGCATGTTGACCTGGTTTAGTTAGTAAAGTGAAGCTGTGTTAACTTTAAATATAATGTGCAATGGAAACTTTTTAACATTTGATTTTGCATGTACATTATTGAATAATTTACTTTTGCACTAAGCCAACTGAACCCTGAGTTATAAAGTCAAAGTGAGTGCTGTCTATTCTTTAAAAAAAATTAACCCCTATGAGTTTGTCAACAGAACCCGCTAAAAGAATTCCCGTCCACTGTGGTTGATATGTTTTCTCAACAGTTGTTCAGCAGGGTGATCACCATAAAATACAGAACTTCATCTTAGTAACAAAAATATAGTACAGCAAGCATGTAGAATTGAACGTCATATCAAAAGTTACTTTAAGGCAAATACTGCAATAATATCTCAAGATATGTGGTCACTAAAAATACATTGTGCTTCCCCTAAGGAATCACAACCATCATATTTTTGTGGATATGTAAGAAACTCATTCTTTTTTTTTTTACAAAACTGAGAACCCTCCATGGTCTTTCCTGTAAAATCAGAATCATGACCTCAAGTTTTGCAGAAAGTAAAAAATGTCTCTCATTTTTAATCAACAATTTAAAAAAATAATTGTTGGCTTGCATTTCTCACTATAATATGTTCTAGCATGAGTTGAGCTTAATATTCATTTCTTATGCACTGGTATTTTAAGCAGTCAAATATAAAATAAGTGCTTATTATTTTGCACCAACTTGTGTTTACTTAGCTCAGTGATGATTGGGTGTAGCTAGTCAAGGTTCTATTCAGGAATACTATCACAGGATATAAAAGGCAAAGGCGGTAATGTTAGATGTAAAGGGCATTGCTATTCTTAAATACATTCTACTACATTATGTTTTAATTAAAATATGGAACAGAAAAAATACTTTGAAATGCTATTAAAAGAGTTGTGCACAGCATCGTAGAAGGTTACAAAATTGGCTTTGTTGCCATCAATCAATGATTTAGGTAGGTTTATACATATTACTAAGGCTGAAGTAGTAAAACCATTACCTAAAAATCATGACCTGTATCATCCCAGTCATATACTGAATTTCACACGCTTTAGGCCTTGAAGCTGTTACTCCTCTATCTTACTGGTGACTAGGAGTTGGTGTAAATACATTAATCAGAAGATATGTAAGCACAGGGCTAAGAAGATTAAATGATGGCTTCCCTTCACCAAACTAAACCATTCCAATTTACTTATTTACAGACATAATAACTATTTAAATCACTTTGGGGTTGATTTTCTAAAGGCAAATATGCTGTTCACTTTACAAGGGGATTTTCACTGTGCAAGGGAATATTCCCTTAGCTTAGTGAGGTAAAGCTCTCTTGACTTCCCTCATTCAGTCATGTGCAAGCAAAATACAATTTCTGATTGGGTATTCTTTGAAAGGTTGACTCTTTACCACATTCAATAAGCTAAGGGAAAAGTCCCCTGTAAAATGAAAATCCCTTTACAAAGTAAACAGCCCTTTTTGCCTAAATAAATCAACTCTTATGCTTTGTAAAATTACTGTCTTGATCCATTGAACCAAAAAAGAATCAGAATTTTCCAGGAATGGGCTTTACTACTGTTCATATTGTCTGACAATCTATTTTATATATGTACAACTTAATAGTACACTCCAGTCAAAAAGGACCTCAATGTAGAAGTTGTGCACAAGTCAACAGTATTGCTGGTGGTCTCCCTGCAGCTGATGTTTTTTTTCATTGCTCGCTTACTATGCTTTGTTTTGCACTTTGTCTCTCTGTGCAGGTGGCTATGTTAGTAGAGGAAGGGATTTGCTTTCTCACTTCAGAGCTGTATCCCTCTTAATGGCTGGTAGCATGATGACTATGGAGAAATAACCAAGAATAAGCAGGAGAGGTTCAGAAAGCTCAGATCCACAGTATGAAATCAGGAGAAGAGAGTCAGATAATTGTCTTCAGATCCTCATGTACAGCTTTATGTCCATTGCTATTTTCCAGGAGGAATTGACATTTTTTCAGGGTACTGCTTAGTTACAATTACCATTTCTAGATATTCCCTATAACATAACAAAATAGTTCATGTCCACTTGCAGCCTTAAAATTCATAGAAAGCAAAACCTAATCTCTCTGAGCTTCATCTTTTTTTCCATCTAGACATAGTTGTAGTACTCCAGCGCGCCCTACTCTCTTTTTAGGGAAAAATGCAAAATGCCATTATATCTTTGCCAACAAACAGTTTAAATTCACAATCCACTGTTTAGCTATTTACCCTTAATACTACATTGGAGATTTATAATCTGGGCTTGGGAAACAACAGTGTTTAATCTGAGTGCACAGAGAGCACAATGGGATCTTGAAGGGGTATCCTTAAATGGTAGCGGTTGTCTTCTCAAATAGTGCATCCTTTCTTGGTAATCAGCAACCTACTAATGCAACTGTACTAAAATCAGAATGTACACTCAGTTTACATTGAAAATTAATAAAATGTTCAAACAAAGTTCATTTACACTTTTGCCCCAACCCCTGAGCTCGAACTAACTCACCCTCTCTCTCCACATACATACCTACCAATTCCCTGGGACTCTATAATACATATACGGACATCGGGGTAAAAAAAAGTGTTCTATACAAGGTCTGTAGGAGGGTCATTCCTAAACCTGTGCAATTCTCTCTCTCTCTCATTACATTCACACTTCCAAGGCAGTTTTTATTCTGAACGGTGGCTGTGAGAAACGTCTTAACAGGTGTATTCAATGATCACTAAAAATAACAATAAAGGGGACTAGTGTATTACAGCAATACCTGGATAACAAAACTGACACACTGAACAGACAGGCTACACTCCCTGTAGGCTTTTAAACTTTTCATTTTCAATTTTAACTGAAATGCCCCTTTAATTTGAAAAGATTTATTCTACTATATAAAATAATTCTATTATAAAATCTCTTTAAGCATACTTTACATGCATATTTTCTTGAGAGATGTTCCCTGTTCTGGAGGCAGATGGCCATTTTTCCTTTATTTCATGTGATACAAAAACACCTTTTACATCTCAAAAACAAAACACAGTAAGTCATGTAGCGACCAACTGTTCAGTGTTTGTATGCCACTTAGGTGCCGTTATTTCTGAAGTATCTCATTTGTCTGGAATACCAAACCCAAGGAACACTGCTAAAGCTTTTATGCCTTTTATAAAAATAAAGTGTTTTAGGAACCAGAAATTCCCTGAGAGAAATAGGAGCT